TTCTGTAAGAATTTTATACGAACATAAATATGGGATATACTTTCGTAATTATTAGGGAATGAATAACTTTATTTGATCATGCACATAAATATGTTAAATATACAAATAATATGAAATGGATTATGTTGTGGTGCTTTTCCGGATTTTCTGTGGGATCAAATGAATTTGCTTAGTTATCTCCATTTTCTACATAATAAGTTGACTATAATATTTTTAAACAAACATGAACACATTGATATAGTTTCCAAATGATTAGGGAATGAAAAGATGATCCTACACATAAATATTCCCAATGTACAAATAAAATGAAATGTATTATATTGAGGATGTTTTTCACGGTTTTCATGGGATAAAATGAATTTCCTTAGTTATCTCCAATTATTTTGTTCAATATGTTTCTGTAATGAGTTTTTACGAACTTATCATATGTATATAGTTTTCTAAGTATTAGTGAATGAAAACCTTTTACATGTTCCTAAATATAAATATCAGCAATCTATAAATATGAAATGTATTATGTTGCTAACGTTTTCTGTATATTCGTTGGGATCAAATTAAATTTGTTAATAGTCCCCGTTAAATTGTATAATATATATAATTAGTCATGATTTTATGCGAAGAAAAATAAAGGTGTTCCTTTTAATTTTTATTAAAGAATTCAACCGTTTAGATAATCCTACGTATAAATATTAGTAATGTACAAATAAAATGAAATTTATTATTCATCTGAGAGACCGCTTTCTTCCTTTTATCAGTATGTGCCAAGCTATCCTCCAAGAAAGTGTCTCTTTTCGCATTCTAGATTTAATACTCTCAACTGACATGAAGTTGAAAGTCTACATTGTATGCATTGCTAGGCTTGCTAGGAAGAGTTTTGGTTCAAAGTGTCGTGATCGACAATTTTTCTTACCAGAAACGATGTTACATATATATATATATATATATATATCATTCGCTCTTACTTAGAATATTGCTGCCCCATAAAATCCGGTGTTTCTGTTATATATTTAACGATTCTTTATAAATCCAAAGAAGTATCAGCAATATTATTTTTTCTGACTTGGCGTCTCGGCTTTAATCATTTTCCGCCGTAATCTTGCTTCCATGATCATTTTCTGTAAATATTTTTATTTTAATTGTTCGGATCTGATCGTTACACTGGTACGTAGAATTTATAAATTTATGCGCAGTTATAGATTGGCAAGATGGGCTCATCAATTAAATTAAATTAAATTGTCTGGATATAAACGTAAGTTCTATGATAATAGTTTCATTTTCTCACATTTCTATTTTCCTGTCAAATTTGATCTATATTGGAATTAAGTTCATATATATATATATATATATATATATATATATATATATATGTATAAAAATCCAGGATAAAGCTTATTCAAGATGATCTTTCGTCTCTCTAACCTTCTAACATTCTGTCCTGTTGTAATATGGTGGCTTACACGTTTCATGTACGATTCATTTTTCAATTCTTTTTTTCACCGCTCTTTGGACTGTCATAGCTAAAACTTCTCTTCCGTGTGGATTGAGTTGACTTTTTCTAATTGATCTCTTTAGCTCTAGGCTGAAATGATGATCTCTCTTCCTATTGTGACCTCCTGATCCAGTTTTCCTCTCTACTGTTCCATCTTTTTAAAACTTATTCACCGTTCTTTTGATGGTTCTTGAATGGACTTTGTAGATGGAAGCCAGAGTATAATTGCTGACACTATTACTGAAGGCCTGAATGATCTTTTTCCTCTCACCATTGCTCAGTTGGAACTGACACTAAACAATTTGAACCTGTTCGCTTTTTAGTTGAATAACTCTAAGGGTGTTTTTTCAGTGATTCTTATGACAAATGCTGCCAAGATGAAAACCTGGAAATATAAATTCAATTAGATCATTTTTTTTATATATTAAATATTTTGTGTGATGGTCATTTATGCTGTTAGATAATTTGGGAAAGTTTTCTATTACGCCCTGTATATTGTGAAATATCCGAGTTCATGCTTCCTCGATGTCTTAATGTTAACCATTTTTCACTTTTGCTCCTCTAATGAAAAGCCTACGAGACACTCTATGCCATTGAGTTTCATTACTTTACAAAACCCGGGATGAGGGCTCTCGAGATAGATGGTGACAGAGTAAGAAGCCGTTTATGCGGATAGGAGGAGAAGATAACGGTAAATGGTAGACAGGATGGGCTTGTAATGATCGGGGAAACGTCCTCTACGGAGTCGGTTCCACAAGGCAGTGGTTCGTGGGAAAAAACTGTTCGAGTAGAACTTAACTTCTCGCCGAAGGAATACACAATGAATATGTGTGGTTTGCTAAATTGTCATCGTGAAGGTTTGAACTGGTGGAACCAAGGAATTCTTTCCATAGAATTAGCAACAGAGCAACGAGAGGCTTGGCACATCCAGTCTGTGAGAGCGAGGTTAGATGGAGGAAAACAAAATGTCACTCATAAGGACTTTGAGACGCTTTTTGACTATGGGGCGTGAAGACTGGGTATCTTCAGCCTAAATATGACAACAGTACTCCATTTTTGGTTTGATCTTGCTCTCCTAAAATTAGAGGATAGCATGAGGTTAGGTACTTCCTGGAGCAATACAGGGAACCAACCATTCTTTCTGCTTCGTTAGTGATGGATCTTATGTCCGAATTCTACCTGTGGGTGAGTTTAAGGTCCAATAGTCACTCAAGGAACGAAGCATGCCAGCGTGGGGACATTCATTCATCGTGACTGGTGGAAGTTCAGGGTTTCATCAGCGGTGATGGAATATAACTAGTTTGCTCTTCGAGGCACTGAATGTATCCTGCCAGATATTCCTCCACTAAAAAGATAGAGCTAGATCGGATGAGAGATCAGTTGCCAATCCCTGGACATCAGGAGTTCTGGACGTACACATATATATGGTTGTATCATCTCCATAGATATTTACAACTAATCTGAGTATACTCTTAGGACAATCATTTATGTAAAGTAAAAAGAGGGTTAATCTGAGGGGCGCCCGCATCGATTGATAGAGTTCCGCGTTAGGGAGGACTTTATAATGTGAAATGCTCTTCCAGTAATTCTATAGTTGGAGAGTTTGGGCTACAAAACTTTGCGTCACACTTTGTCAAAAGCCTTCGAATTATCTAATGTAATGTTCCTTGGGGTATCAAGGGCCTCAATGATTCTGTGAGTAATTTAATTAGATTGTTGCAAAGGGTGTAAATAGAATCATGAGGCGATGCATGTTATGAGGATATTTAGGATAGAAATAGGATGTCCTTAAACTTGAAGAGATTAAAATTATAGTGGCCGGGAAATCATCCTCGAGAGATCATTTTCTACCAAGTGATACTTAGTGTAACGAAGATGCTTGAGCGAAACTTCCTCCTTACCACAGGAATACAACGGGAATGAAGATGATTTGACACTGTGGACATGGCATGGCGTGTCCTGTGATGGTCGGAACTGGAGAAACTAAAGAATGTAGCTCGTCTCTTTAATTCTAATCTCAACCATTATCTATCCAACACATTCTCATAATCATCACGTACTTCCTACTTCTAGGCCCATAGAGAAATATCCCTCCGTAATCCTCTACCTTGTGTGGTTCTTGAGCCTTGCATTGAAATAAAGGAAGCTCTAGCGAACCATTCTTACTCACGTCAAGATGGGATATGGGATAAACAACTTATTCTTCGTGAGAGATGGCAGAGAGAATCGGTGAAGTCGTTGTGACCGGATGGCAGCTAGTTTCTTGTAACATAGTGTCAGTAAAATATGTCAGGACTATTAAAAAATCCCCAAACTAAAAAAACAGCCACAAATTAGGCTTAAGGATTAAGAAGATAAAAACGATCTCCTAATTAATAAATAGTAACACAGGTTGATGCTTTCTGAAATACAATATATTTGATACACATGCCCCACAAAAATAAATGAAAGAAAAAAAAACTGGATATAGTGATATCTTATAATTGGTCCGTGAATTGACAAATCACAAACTAGGGAGAACGCGAGATTTCCTGTTAAAAAAAAGTTTTTTCTAAAATTCTTCGGTGATATGGAATTTTTTCTCATTTACCACATGAACCCCGTCACTGACAAATAGTGGGCAGCATTTCCCTACTCGGGAACAATAAAAGTAACCAATACAGATCATATACTCTGTGCTGTTTATTGCTACACGAGAAAAAGATGTTTGATATGACATTCAATAATAAACAGACTAGTTTACTGGCTAATGACACTAGTGGAAACTAACGCAACGAAATGGATGAAAGTTATCAGTTTTCTCCTGTTAATTTCCCATCTGAAAGTTCTCCACTGCCTTAAACGGGTATACCAGACATCCATCAAAACGTGGCACGTGGAACTAGAACAGTCTACTTCAGTGATTGAAATAAAGAGTTCAGTTCGACATTCCAACCACCTGAAGAAGGCTGGAGCATACAACGGCTGAACCGTTGTAATAAATATGGCGACAAAGATGAGGACAATAGTCCGAATAATGTAAATAATGTAGAAAATATTTAATCCAAAATTTAAAAAAAAAGAAGATTCTGCGTTATTATAAATGAAATTTTGCGAACCTTGTTTGTTCGTGAGCGATTTGTTCGTGCTAGAGTGCGTAACAATAAACCACGGGGTGAAGGGGTTTGAGGCCAATGGCTTCCTTTAGTTACTCTTTTATACTATATCAATGTCAGGTTTCTTTCACCGTTGCTTGTACGGCGGGCTTTGTTTTACTTGTCTTCTATTTTTTTATCTTTTGTAAGCTATTACACTGCCATTCGTTTAACGAAGTTACCGAAAATAGTTGCGTACAATTCCGACAAGGGAGACGGTCACGTTCAGAAAGTAACTTGTTGGTGAACAGCGAAGCAATCATCATCTCGGCATGGTGCCCTGCCTAGAAGCCAGGGAGAAGCGAGGGGAAAAAAATCTTTAAAAGGGATGGGGGCTATGTGGGTTTTAAAGAGGACGAGAAAGAACAGAAAGTGCGTTAGGAGATGAATGAATAGAAAGCAAGAAAATCAAAAAGAGTTTTGGGAAAAAATGAAACAGGAAGGAGAAGAAGAAGGAGAAGCAAGATGAAAGGAAGAAGCAGGCAAGAAAAAGTGGAAGAACAGGCGAGATTAAAATGAAAGAAGAGAAAAGGAAGAACGGAAAGGAGAGATAGATAGCTAGATAGATAAATAGATAGATAGATAGATAGATAGATAGATAGAGAGAGAGAGAGAGAGAGAGAGAGAGAGAGAGAGAGAGAGAGAGAGGTGGGGAGATAGCGAAAGAAAAATGGAGAAATAAAAAAAACAAAAGGAAAAAGAGGAAGTAGAGAAAAGTATGGGGAAAGGATAGAATGGAGAAAAAGGAAAGCAAGAAAAGGGAGGGAAAATAAGATAACAGGGAATAAGAGAAAGGAAAGGGAGAAAGAAAGCTGGGAAAAATTATAGTAGAGGAAAAAGGGAGAATACAGATGAAAAGGTCACAAAGGAAGGAGAAAATGGAGGAAATAGTGAAGGAAGAAAGAATGAAGGAAAAAAAACGAAAAAGAAAAAAAGGGTAAAGTGGAATAGTGAAAAGAAAGTCGAAAGGAATAAAAGAAAGGTGAAAAAGAAATGAACTAGAAGAAAATAGAGAAAGGAAAAAAAAGGAAAGGAATGGAAAGAAAGAAAGACAAAGAAAAGGAATGAACAAAACAAGGTAAAAATGAAAGAAAGGACAAAGGTAATATAGGTGAGAAATGAAATGAAAGAAAAAAAAATGGAGAGTGCAGTGAAGAAAGAAACGTAGAAAGAAAGAAACGTTGAAATAAATAAAGAAATAAAGAAAGAAAGAAACGTAGAAAGGAAGGAAGCATAGTTGAAAAAAAGAAAGAAAGAAAGAAACGTAGAAAGAAAGAAAGAAACGTTGAAAGAAAGAAAGAAAGAAAGAAAGAAAGAAAAAACGTAGAAAGGAAAAAAGAAAAGTTAAAAGAAAGAAAGAAATAAACGTGGAAAAAAGAAAAAAAACGTTGAAAGAAAGAAACATAGAAAGAAAGAAAGAAAGAAAGAAAAATGAAGGAAAAATAAAGGAAAGAAAGGAATAAAAAGAAAAAAAGCTAAGGATCAAAGAAAATAAGGGAGAAAGGAGAGGTGGGGGAAGAAATTGGAGATATAGAAAAGAAAAGGAAGCTGGGCCGAAGAAGAAAAAAATGAGAAAGAAAATGTGAAAGTGACTGAAGTCGGCTAACAATGCGAGGGTGCTTAGCTACAACTACATACAGACCTACAGATGTACATACATTTATGTTTGAGTCTCTTCCTAAGATTTTACTCACAAACAACCACACCTCTTCCAAACGAACAACCTATTGGTCGGAAACGTTATTACGACAATAAAAGAACAGTGAAGTTTTTTTTTTTCTCTCAAAAATAATTATCAATCTGCACACGCATTGGTGAACACACGCATGAAACTACGATTATTCACAATGTGTATGTGGGACTGTGCCCATGTTGGCGTACATAATACCATATATCATTCAACATTATATATAGAACTTTTTTTTACACACACACACACACACACACACACACACACACACACACACACACACACACACATACATATATATATATATATATATAAATTTATAGTATTCAACTCAATGTTTTTCCAATAAAATTTTTTGGCAAAATTTTCAGAATATACGGACATTTATATTATAAATGTACCTAGTGAATTTCAAGTTATAAAAACTGTTTTTATTAGGAACATTTACAATAATTTATTTGGTGCTGTAAGTGTTTATTATGCAACTCTATCATTGCTCATCATATCGTAAATAAGTATTCTATTATAGTTGTGTATTTGGGCAGCAATCATTCTTTAATATATGTTTCGTTGAACAAGACTGTATTCATTATATTTTCTTCCATGCGTCAAAATGTCCTTCTTTCTGGATTCTTTAGTTGTTCTAAATTTACTGTCTGTATATCTCAGATCAGGTATTATATAATTACTTGCATAATTGACATTATTCGGAGTGTTATCCTCATGTTCATTGCCATATTCCCAAAATTTCGCCCCGGTCTTCTTCAGGTGATTGGAATTTCGAACCGAATCCTTTATTTCGTCCACCGGGGTAGATTGTTTTAGTTCCAAGTGCCATGCCTCTTCCGAATGCCTCAGTTATTCCCCTTTAACTCAACTCTCTAAGTTTGTACACTGGTATTGAACTCACAATTCTTTTCTAACCAACGTCTTTATCCACTGGACCATGTCTCTTTGAGGACATGTGTGTATGAATTTTTCGGACTTATAAACCTAATGCTCATATTGAAATTACTTGTGTTATTATTATTATTGTATTTTTCCATGATTTATATTGCAATTTTTGTTGTTATCGCTTTTCTCTCGCACTCCTTATTACTGGTTCCCATATTGTATTCATTTCTATGCTGGCTATTCTGGTCTAGCATATGTGCTGATGCCTTAAGTTTTCGTATTTTTTCTTTTTGAAATAACAGACACGTGGAACTAGAACAATCTACCCCGGTGGACGAAATAAAGGGTTCGGTTTGAAGATCCAATCACCTGAATTTATTTTTTAAATGAAAGCTTTCATCACTTTTAAACGTTTTTAGCCGTTTGAAGTATATTATAGAATAGTTACTAATATTAATAAGTATATTATAATAATGGATAGCGGCTCGGATTGAGAAATCGGAGAGCTGAGTTCGAATTCCAGTCGAATCCATTACATTCATTTACGTGCTAATACCCTTGGGAAAGCTATGAATCCTCTTCTTGTCCCCAGCAGCGATGGGCAAATAGCAGAACAGGCCGCGTTCTATAGTCATGGATGGCATCTTGTCTACCACAGAAAGAAATGGTAACGTACTGCTGGAAAAATCTGCCTCGTCAGTCATGTATCGAAAGATACATGATGGCCTAAGCGGGTATCACACATGGCACGTAACTGACTGATATTATAGTATAGTTATTAGTATTTATATAAAATCCAGATATAGGTATGCGTATAAGTTACAATGGGTCATAAAAAAGTTATGATTTCAAAAAGAAACAAGATATTCTAAAGTTAGTGAGTGATGACAGCACATATTTCGAAATTACGAAAAACAAGAATAGTTTTCAAAGGACAATAAAAAGAGGATTTGAAAATGTTGTAGTGATAAGAAAATGAAAAATCCATCATCTTAAAAATGTCAGAAAATATATTTGAGAAAAAATAAAACGTAGATCGACCAACAAGAAAATATCTTATTAATCTTGTGTTTCTAAAGAGAAGAGGATTTGGTTTGTTTTGTTTTGTTTTACGGCATATCAACACCTCAATGGGTTATTTAATGTCGAAGACTTTTTATTTCTGTTAATAGTTTTTCTTATAAAATGTATTGCTGGTAATATTTTTGCAAAATGCATTGCTGGTAATATTTTTTTCAAAAATGTATTGCTGGTAATATTTTTTTCAAAAATGTATTGTTGGTAATATTTTTTTCAAAAATGTATTGCTGATATTAAAACCTATTTTTACTCTTTCATAGTTTTGACCCCAGTTTGTGGGTTAACCATTTCCCCATATTTGGGACCCTAACAAGTGCTACCACCCCGGGTCAGGATGGACCTGAAAACACTAGTAATGAAGAGGTGGTTACACGCTTAAAGAGAGGAGGATTGAGAAATAATAAAATCATTGACTGAAAAATATCAAGACACAAAACTAAGACTTTAAGTCATGAAGAGGAACGGGTAAGATATGCGAAGAAGTGCATAAAAGCTAAAAAAAAGTAATGTTTTTATTGAAAGTTAAACTATATTCGATGGACGTGAGAGTTGGCTTAGAGGCTGGCGTCTTTATGCAAATAGACAACCAACACAATTTAGTAGACGACTGTGGAGTAACGTTTTGGGCTAGTATTATGGGTAGCAAAAATATAGTTCCATTCAAAGTTGATAATGGTAAAGAGATAAATGCAGAGAATGATTTTAACCTCTTGGATGTTCTTTTGATTGGTGTACATCAAGATCAAGAAGCCTTAAGCAGAAAAATATATTCAGGAAAGTCAATTTTACTTCATTCTTCAAAGCTAACTTAAGTTGCCAGAAATGTTTCAAAGACATCAAATTAATTGAATAACTTCCAAACTCCAGATATTAATTCACTAGAAGAACTGTGTTTCACCAATAAAAATATTTTTACAATAATATTCAGCTTTTTTAAGATCCAAGAAACACTCGAAGAAGATGACTTGTATAGGTTAAGATTCTAGTAATCGGGTAAACATCCTCTTGGGAGACGGTTGGGAAGAAGCTAATCTACTGGGACTAATATCTCACCAATGCAATATAAAGGGAATAAAGGTACCTCGCTACAAGTGGCGTGGTCTAGATGATTTTAGTCATGAATGTTAGAATTAGGGGGTGCTAAGTAATGTAGTTCACCTGAACACTTTCCATAGAAATATCGATAGAGTAGCAAGAGGCTTGCAAAAATTCGTGTATAGGAAAGAATGTGGAAAATAGTTCATCACCCATAAGGACGCGAAAGAGCTTTTTGGTCTCTATCGAAATTGGAAAGTGAAGTTTGCGTATGCCCTGCCTAGATATAACAGGGGTACTCCATTTTCGACCTGATCTGGCTCTTGTAAAACTAGAGGATATCAAGTGGAGGCAAGTGGAATGGTACCCAGAACTGAACATTTTTCAAGAATTGTCAGAATTGCCGGACTGTTTGCAGCAGTTCCACTTGAGGTCAGTCCCAATCGGCACTCAAGGCACGAGAACTCCCTGCTAGAACGCCCATGCATCGCTCGGCCATGATGGAACATCGCTTGTTTGATTTCTATGAGGTCGGAGCAAAAAGTATCGGATCTTTTGCTAGGGTAACGGAGCTGAAATCCGCAGAGTGAAGCCGATTGGCGCGGATTGACCTTTAAATCTGTTGCGCATGCACATTAAGTTATAACGTTCTCGTTCACTTGGCTTGTGTAGCAGATTCTGACGAAGTACAAAATTCCCCTGACAACCACCAAATTCCTCGCCCTTACGACTTCTTTCTCTTCAAAAATCGAATCCCACTTGAAAGGAACGAGATTTAAAGACGTCAAAGAAATGAAAGAGAATGCAACGAGATAACTGCTCGCCAGACTCTCAAAAAAGGACTCCCAGGCATGGAAACAAAACTGCATAAAAAGTGTGGCTTCAAAAGGCAAATACGTTGAATGAGATTAAATACCGAATTGATATATTTAGTAGTTTTCTTTCTATAGCATCAGTTCCGATGCTTTTTGACCACATGTCACATGAGAATCTCTGGGGAGCAATAAGAAAGGCTTCAAGTAAAATTTAAAAAAGAAAATAAGTTAAAAGCAATTATTGAAAAACAAAATATCAAGGGTCCTATATTAACACGTGAAAAGATTTATACTGATATATGGAATATTGTATTCATGAAATATATATTTCTATGGTCTTTATGATTTATAAATGAAAACATTGCTTCGCTTGCCTTTTTTTAACAATAAACAATAGCAAAATAACATATCAACGTTTGCAAGAAAGAGAGAGATTAGCAGCTAAAACTCGATATATTGGATATATAAATATAAGTATTTGTTTATATCTCTGAGATGAGGTATTATGATTACTTGTATTATTTACATTATTCGGTCTGTTATGCTCATCTTCACTGCCAAATTCACAACGTTTCGGTCTCTATATCTTTGAAATGAGGTATTATGATTACTTGCATTATTTACGTTAGTCGGACACATCCTCATTGCCACATTCAAAACATATCGGCAGAGAGGATAAAGATGTTGGTTAGATCCAGTGACTAGACTCAAATGGGTTGTGAGTCCAATACCAGGCCACGGCAGTGGTAAACCAAAATTTGGATAATTGAGGGAAATAACAGTCATCTGGAAGAGACATGTAACATGGAGCTAGAACAATCTGGTTCCCATATTGTATTCATTTCTATGCTTTGTCGGCTCAGGAGATTTTTGTGGCTTAGCATATGTACTGATACGTTTTCGTATTTTATTTGAAATAATAGACAGAGAGCATCAGTGGAAAATACTAGAGACACCCGGAAGAGGCTTGGCTCGTGGAACTAGAACAATCTACCTCCGCTGGACGAGATAAAGGGTTCAGTTCGAAATTCCAATCACCCGACGTAGGACGGTTCGTACAACGGCTGAAACGTTGTGAATTTGACAATGTAGGTGTGGATAACATTGCGAATAATGTAAATAATATAAGTAAATATAAGTATATCCGAATAAGGACGACTACGTCAGTGAGATAATACTAAGTTAATGTTGAAAAACACTGATTTACATAATAAAATCGTTGGCTTCCTCAGGTTACAATGAGAGAAATACAAAAATGGATCTTGGATCTCAGAAGATAAGTAGCAATTATAAATTAAATTAGATAATTTATCACCTGCAATGTCCAATCATGCGAGAGTGTCTGCCCACCAATTTGTGTGTTTCATATCAGAGGCATTTGGTGTGGTTGGATTTTAAATCTATCCACCTAAACTGGAGAGTTTTTTGACATATATATATATATATATATATATATATATATATATAAACATAGCTATATATATGACTACATACATGCGCACCCACCCAGACATATACATTTATTAGAGACCTTTTTAACTATACTTCTGCATACCTGTCTATATTTCTGAGATGAGTTATTATGTACGTTATTTACATTATTCGGACTATTGTCTTCATCTTTGTCGCCATATTTATTACATCGTTTCGGCCCTTCAGTATCTGTCTATATTTATGAGATGAGGTATTATGTACGCTATTTACATTATTCGGACTATTGTCCTCATCTTCGTTGCCATATTTATCACAATGATAAATATAGCAACAAAGATGAGGACAATAGTCCGAATAATATAAATAGTGTACTTCTGCATACATGTACACATATATATGTATGTGTGTGATATATTCTAGGTTCATATATTTGCGTAGCTGGGTGCTTCTGTTTTGCTTAGCGGCATATGAACGCCTATGGTTTATTTAATTCCCAACTCTAAATATCTTGTACGCAATTTTATTTTTGGTGTTGTGGGGTGAGATAATAATGATTTAGTGATACAAATCTTGGAAATCACCCCAAAGCTAGTTGGGTTAGGGTTAGACATATACCTTTCCCAACGGTATAACGAAAACAACTGGACATGGAACTCGGATCTCTGATTAACATTTCCGAGCATTATTGATTACACCACCCGCACATCCACGCTTAAATCCATGGTATTCTCAAGCGATCAACCATCTAGGCGCTGACAAAGCTTTACGCTCCTCAACTTCCGGTATCATATAGGATCCTGTGTTTCAACGAGATATCGCCTTAAATAGTATTTGCTTTGAGATGGAAATTGCGTCTACCAGTTTAGATTGAAAAATGCCTTAGGAACCGAACCTATATATCTGTAATAATATTGTAAAACGCTTTAAAACGGAACGTTACGTGAAGCCATTATAGCGATGTTGTAGACCAATATCTAGAAAGCCAATCCCACAAACCATTACTACCGTAGTTAGGTTGGCTTTAAGCTTGTACCCCACAGATTTTACTTGTGCCAGACTTCGTTAATTTTAGCGGATATCAATAAAAAAAACTTAAAAAAACCTTGTGATGTCTAGTATACTAACTTTTGCTCATTTGTGCCCCTTTAGTCGATCGGTCAGTCATCGATTGTCGCGACGGTTCGTCGCCGCCTGCTTCCTGGGAAACTTTCTGAAATGACTTTAAAGAAAAAGACGGGGAGTAGTTTCTCCCGTTTCATTGCTTGTGGGGAATGCATCGATTTCCTTTAGCGGACAGATCGATGTCTTATTACCGAAAAATCAGTGGGTCAAAAAAAGAATTTCTTTTAAAGAAATCGATGCATCACATTATATTTCTCGATGATTATACATATATAAGTACATACAAAGTTGTTTCCATGAGTAAATAACTCGTATATAATAAATGTGTACGACTGATTTTTGTATATATACTAGAAAGGTTACTCAACATCCCGTGGGCCAGGTGTCTTTCCTTTGTTTTGATGCACTAAACCGCCATTTTAAAATTGTTTTTTCACTCTTGTTCCACCAATACAAAGCCCAAGAGCCACTCTACGTAGAAGAATACTGAAAGAGTTTGTATGTAGATAACGTTTGACCCGAGACTTGAAGACGTTAATGTTGTTATTCGTCCTGGGTATGACGATAAACTACATCCGACAGCAAGGCCTCTGATCAGGAAGCTTTGAGGACCGTGGAACCACCTCTTAGTTACTAGTGTTCCCAGGTTCAACCTGACTCGGGGTGGTACCATCTGTTAGGGAAAATAGTTAACCCCCAAACTGGACTCAAAAGACTACGAAAATGTAAAAATAGGTTTTAATACCAGCAATAAAATTTTTAAAGGAAAGTTATTGCCAGCAATACATTATTACCAGCAATATATTTTTGGAAAAAATATTACCAGCTGTGACGTCGTCCCCCCTGGTCGCAGCGTCGACTCTGTCGTTCGATCTCGTTCGCGGCGCCAACTGTGACGTGACGTGGTCCAGGGTTCCGATCCTATGGTCACGACACCAGTTGTGAGGTCTTTGCCGCGGCGTCAGCTGTTCGCTCCTCGCTGCTCCAAGTGTGACGTTCTAACCCTTTGGTTAGATGAATACCAGCCTCGTTCCCAACTCGCATCCAGCGCCTGGTTACTAGGGTAACTGCACTGATCTCCGGTCTGCCTACCCACGTTGTGATTAGATCTTAGACGGACGGGATCAAACAGGGATTGGGGCCGTATGCAAGCTGAGTCCAACGGGGGTGATAACACAAGAAAAAAAAAAACTCACAAGGTCAAAAATTATTGAAGAAAAAGGTAACAACTTTTTATATCTAAATGTTCGTTACACACGATTATTCCTACCTCCCGACCCGTTTTGTGGACGTGGGACCAAGATTCTACCATACAACTTTAAGGCTTGAGTTGCTTGCTCTCTAGAAATTTGCATTTCGGGGTGTGGTTTGGTTTCAACACTGGGCGCTGATCTCTACCTGTCGTTCACGGCTGATTTCCCTCGCCGTCAGTGCTGTAATTAACTTCTTCTCTTCGGCTTGGTTGGACGAGTTTATTCACTTCGGCTTGGGTTGGGCGAATTTTTTCACTTCGACTTGGGTTGGACGATTTCTCTTCTTAGGCTTGGTTTGGTTCTTCGGTTTAGGCCAAACGGCTATTCACTTCGGCTTGGGTTGGACGAGCTTATTCACTTCGGCTTGGGTTGGACGATTTCTCTTCTTAGGCTTGGTTTGGTTCCAACCTCTTCCACTTAGGCCAAACGGGCTGCTTCACTTCTGGCTTTCTTGGCCGTCTGGCCTGGCTTATTCACTTCGGCTTGGGTTGGACCAATTTCTCTTCTTAGGGGTTCCAACTTCTCCACTTAGCCCAAACGAATTGCTTCACTTCGGCTTCTCTTGCCCGCAAAGGGGGATGAACCGGGCCCGCCGCCCAGGGCTCCGTCCCGCAACTCCAACTTGATTTCTGTCGATTGGGGTCCTGCTTTTATTGAGGCAGTCAAAAACTGGGGTGGGTCTGTCGGCGCCAGGGTTTTCTTTGATAATTCTAAAGACGTATTATTTCTGATTAGGGATTTTCCATTATCGGTAACTTACTTTCACTCCTACTTCCTTACTGTGCCTCTGGGGGAGGCGTATACCCGCTTCCCCTGGTCCCTCGTATGTCAGGTGACCGCTCTCGACCAATGGGGTCCTGGTCGGGCATCTTTCCTCCTCCCTCGCACATCACGTGACCGCCCTCGGCCAATGAGACTCTGGTCGGTATCTTTCCTCCTTCCTTCGTGACGTCTCTAATCGGGCGTGGACAATCCGTGGCTTTGTTCTGGGGGAAGAAACACCTTGCTTAAAAAAACAAAATTTAAATTGTCCTTTTCGTACGTGATCGAATGACGCTATCGGTTCCTTTTACACGTGGTATCTGTCAAACAGCCTATCGCTAATTGGATACGATCTAAGAAAGGAATTTCTTAGACTGCGTGGCGTTCTCGCGAGCTAATACAAATATTTCACCTTTTTCTTTCGCTCGGAGCTTGTTAACAAAAATCTTAATTATCTCAAAAAAAGCGACATCACCTTGGGTGTTTTTTTTTTCAACTCTGGAATCGTCTGGGTTCTTGTATTAATGGTTTGTCTGTATATCCTTAGATAAACTTCCCCTGTTACCTATCATATCAATGACATCCTTTTCATACTTATTAATTTTTTTTCCATTGTCTCTAAAATTTTATTTCTTCAACCAAATTGATAACAAACTCCCATCCTCCGCGGACACGGAAGTAGGTCGGTGCTTGACCTGATATTTTTGACATCTGATATGTGCCAGTCGAGCGTGTGTGTTTTCGCTTACGACCTGGTTTTCGTATTATTTTTTTTTCTCCTTTCTTTCCTTCTTTTCTTCTTCTTTTCTTTCTTTCTCTCAGATCGCCTGAATGTAAAAAATTATTCCATTTTTCGTGAAATATTTTTCAGCTCTAAATAATTATCAAATGGTTAACAAACCGAAAAAAAAATCATATATTTATGAATATCTCTTTTCAGTTTTCTAATTATGCATGGTGCCACACAGCAATAAAAATCTTGTCGGCATTAAATAACCCATTGAGGTGTTGATATGCCGTAACACAAAACAAAACAAACTAAGGTTATAAATCGAAAAAAAGCATCCTCTTTTACCTCTTCTATTTCCAGTAGACATTCTCATGTTTTGAAGCTGTCTTAATGGAACGTTCTTCATGTTAAGAGAATAGGAAAGGAATGAGGAGGATTTGAACCTGTATACAAGTCATGGTGAGTCTTTCGTGCAACTAAGGAATGTGGATGAAACTTGACAAGGAAGACAGTCCATCTAGAGAAAGGGAAACCCCGATTTAAAGCCTCCGCTGCCTGGTAGTCATATCCAAAAACAAGGAAAATATATTATAGAATTAAATCTGGATTAGTCAAAATCGGTTTGACTGTCAGCACGGACAATTTTCGTTACATCCATTTACTGTTAAAAGATTGAGACCCATAATAATAATGGACTATTCTGACATTATAAATTAAAAAAATTCTCAAGATCAATGTTGCATATTTAAGACGAGGGGAAAATAATTAAAAGCATATTGTAAGGACATTGGAATAGTGAAACTTTTATAAGACAACATTGTTTCTGATAACCAAATTTTTCAGTCACAATTAATACTTCTACTTCTGCAATTATATTTCTGCTGTAAATATCTTTGTATAAGAAGATGTGTTCGTGTTATTCTTTCATTGGTATTACCCTAGGACCATCAGCATGGAACAAGGAATTTGGACCATAACAATTTGGCGACGAGGAAACCCTAAAAAACAAAAACTCTAAGGAGAACATATCTTTTTACTCTCCGTCGAGGATATAACAAGTGGCGACGAGGTAATTCTGAGTATAAAGAAACCAACTCTCTACGCGGAGGACAGGAAACCTTTTTGCTATCCATCGCACATAATAAAGTGTCGACGAGAAACTGAAGAAACAAGGAATACGTGAGATTTCTAAAAAAACAAGTTCTACGAATATATAAAACAAATACTTGCATTTTGTTTTTTTTAAATTTGTATTATATTTCTGTTGTAATATATCTTTGTATTCCATACCTAATTCGTGTTATTCTTTCATTGTTTCTAATTCCTTGAACCATCACCATGGTACAAGGAATTATTAATTATTAATTGGATTATTATTTTACATTTACCATCGCCATTCTGTGTGAAAAGAAAACTCGAAAAAAATTCAAACCACCTGCAACCTTGTAAATTTTTGCCTCTTTAACTTCTTCTTTAGGAGGGACATAGCTAACCTCAAAATTGATAGATTTTTCTAGAGGAACTGGATGTCATTGCTAATATTCTGCCTTTGAATGATCTTGAACCACAACTAGAGTGGTGGTGGGATGGGAAGTGTAAAAAATGCTCTAACTGAATGCGCTAACCAGTGTTTTTTTTGGCATTTTCCTATATCACAAAATTATCATAATTACATCAGTTCTTACTTTGTTCATCCTTTACTTCATATATAGCTGTATGCCGGTCATCCCAGTGCAAGAGAGACAAGGAAAATGATGTCGAATAACAGATAAAATTTTCAATCTAACGAGCGAGAGCAGACAATATTAAATGGACTAAATCCAAATACTGTATAAACAGAAAATATATTAAAATAATTGTCGGACTTAGTCCATTTCATAATATATGATGTCATTTGTTTAAGTTAAGATACACTTTGAGCAGATATGAGCGCTCGAGAGAAATCATGGGGACTTTGTAGTTTAAAACAGTAATTTTTAAATTTATTATTATTATTATTACACACACACACAAACACATCACACACACACAAAGGTTTCTCCACACACATTCATACAATGAAAACACTGAAATGGGGAAAAATTTGGCCATTTAACATTTCATTTTTTGAAAATGTTTGAATTTACCAAAATTAAACAAAAAATCGAGATAACGTTTGAACAGTAAATTTATTTCATAAATATCGCCGCGGAAAAAAAACCATGAAATTTTCAAACAAATTCGGAATCTCCTACAACTCTTTTCGACGGTATCCTTGTTTAAGTTGGTGAATGCTGCCATAATCCTTGCCTTTTGTTCAGGACTTTTGTTGATCTCTCGCTCAACTGCGCTCCACATCATAATAAAGGAGGATTGCAGTGTGGAGTTAGGCGGCTAGATATAAAGTGTAAGCAGTCGCAGAAATTGTATA